CCATTCCTAAATGAAAACTGCTATCAAGTTTGCCATCTCCAAGTTTTACTAACCATCCACTATAAGAAGAATCCTCTGATCTCATATTTGTTGTAAGACACAACTTTCTGAAACATTGCAGTACTTTAAACTCGTTTGTACTATGGCTGATTGCATAGCATGCGGTACAATACTGAAACATTGTCAAAAATCCCCTCCAAGAAGGAGAACTTTCCCACCAAATACGACATTCAAATTCATAATTTCTCTTAGTAATCTGTCTATGGCGTTTATAGCATGACTGGATGCCATGGTGCATTCATCAATAATGAGAAGTTGGGCCTTTTTAATAGTTTTAGCAACTTCACTGTTTATATCAAGTCTAGAAATTGAAGTTTCATTTAATGGAATCAGTAATTTATATGGGGAATGAAAGGTGCTTCCACTGAGAAGTAAATTTGCAGCAAATCCTGTGGACGCTGTGGGTAAAACTACCACCACGACCTCTAATATAATATATTAACACTTTATAAAGATATGCCTCCACACTCCAAGGGCCGGTTCCTGCCTCAAACCTCGCCCTTACCGGAAACAGCTTGGGGAGGGCGCAGCTGTTGCTAAGAGGACCCAGGACTCAGTGGGTCCACGCTCCAAGGGCCGGTTCCTGCCTCAAACCTCGCCCTTGCCAGAAACAGCTCCAGGAAACAGCTCCGGGAGGGCACAGCCATTGCCAAGACAACACCTTCAGGACTGACTTCCTTCCTGTTGGTTGAGCTTTGGTCGGTCGTGATGTTACACCCAGGGTTTTTATATAACTACATTTGCTAGTGTTTTGTTTAGGATTTTTGCGTCTGTATTTATCAGAGATATTGGTCTATAATTTGTGTGTGTGGTATCCTTGCCAGATTTTGGAATCAGAGTAATATTTTTAGCTTCATAAAAGGAGGTAGGAATTTTTGCCTCTTTTCCAAATTTTTGGAAGTGTATGAGGAGGATATGTAATAAATCTTCTTTGAAGGTTTGGTGGAATTCACTAGTGAAGCCATCTAGTCATAGACTTTTATTTTTAGACAGTTTTTGATGACTGTTTTAATTCAGTCTGTTTAGAATTTCCAGTTCTTCATGATTCAGTCTAGGAAGTTTATATAGTCCCAAGAACTTGTCCATTTATTCTAGGTTATTGAATTTGATGATGTACAGCCTTTCGTGGTATGCTTGTATAGTCTTTTGTATTTCTGTAATGTCGTAACTTCTCTTTCATTTATGATTTTGTTTGTTTGAGACTTTTCTCTTTTATCAGTGATTTTTGCATCTATAGTTAGAGGTTTGTCAATTTTATTAATTCTTTTAAAGAATCAGTTCTTGCATTATTTTTCTATTGTCTTTTGTTTTCTGTTTAATTCTGCTCTAATTTTTATTTCCTTACTTCTACTGGCTTTCAGCTTTGTTATTTTTCTATTCCTTTAAGGTGAAATGTTAGGTTGTTTATTTGAGATTTTTCTTGTTTCTTGTGGTAGGCCTGTAATGCTATAAACTTTTATTTTATTACTGCTTTTGCTCCATCCCCCAAATTTTGATATTTCCTATTGTCATTCTCATTTGACTCTGTGTATCTTTTGAGCTCTCCTTTTATTTCTTCTTTTACCCAGTGGTTGTTTAGTATCATGTTGTTTAATGTCCACATTTGTGGTTTTCTCAGCTTCCTTTTAGCAGTTGATTTCCAGTTTCAAATTTTTATTGTCAGAGAATATGCTTGGTATAATTTCAATCTTCTTAAATTTGTTGAAATTAGTTTTGTGCCCCAACATAATATGGTCGGTCTATCCTTGAGAATGTTCTCTGTGCACTAGAGAAGAATGTATAATCTGGTGTTCTAGGATGAAAAGCTCTGTAAATATTGATTATGTTCATTTGGTTTAATGTGTTATTTAAAGCTGTTTTGATTTTCTGTTTGGATGATCTATCCATTGTTCTCAGTGGGGTTTTAGTTCCCCTATTATAATTGTATTTTTGTCAGTTTCTCCCTTTAGTTCTGTTAGTAGTTGCTTTATATATTTTGGTGCCTCCAGGTTGAATGCATACTTATTAATAAACATTGTGTCTTCTTGGTGTATTGTCTCCTTCATCTTTATAAAATGTCCATCTTTGTCTCTTGTTACCTTTTTTATCTTGAAATCTATTTCGTCTGATATAATTATAGCTACACCTGCTTTCTTCTGGATGCCATTTGCTTGAGTATCATCTTGCACCCCTTCTCTTTGAATCTATGTTTGTCTTTGCAGTTGAAGTGTGTCTCCTAAAAAACAGCAAGCATATATAGTTGGGTGTTTTTAAAAAACAAAACAAAACAAACCATCCCACTACTCTGTGCCTTTTAATTGGTGAGTTCAGTCCATTTACATTTAGGGTGATTATGGATGTATGAAGCTATCCTATCTCCATTTTATCTTTTGTTTTCTGGTAGTTCTGTGTCTCCATTGTTTTTTTTTTTTTTTTAATTCTTGTGTTCCTGTTATTCTATGATTTTGTCCTCTATTTCCTCTCTTTTTACGTTATGTGTCTCAGTTCTGGATTTTTTAAAATATATTTTTTATTGATTTCGGAGAGGAAGGGAGAGGGAAAGAGAAATATCAATGATGAGAATCATTGATCGGCTGCTTCCTGCACACCCCCCTACTGGGGAGCGAGTCCACAACCAGAGCATGTCCCCTTGACCGGAATCAACCTGGGACCCTTCAGTCTGTGGGCTAATACTCTATCTACTGAGCCAAACCAGCTAGAGCTCAGTTCTAGATTTTTACTGAGTTCTTCAGGTTAAAAATTTCTGATTGGTTCTTTTTTTTATAGTTTCAGTCTCTTTGGTGAGGGACTCTTTTTATCTGTTGACTTTATTTCTGTGCTCTTTGAATTACTCCTCTGAATTTTCTTGTATCTCGTTGAGATTTTTCACACCTGCAATCTTGAATTCTCTGTCACTTAAATCATAGACTTCCAAGTCTTTAAGTTTATTTTCTGGAGATTTTTCATTTTCTTTCTGAACTTCATTGTTACCTTGGTTATTTGTTGTGATTGATAGATTATTTTTCTGCCTTGGAATTTATGGAAATGAAATCTTTTTTTTTTTAAGTATTTTACTCTTCACTGTTTAGCAGCAGGTTGATAAGTAGATGTCTTTCTTTTGTTTTCCAGAAGGTGGTGCTGAAGCACAAGTTTTAATTTTTTCTTACCCGTCTTTAAGGTTATCTATAGGGTAGTGTGGCCTTGGCTGTGAAAAAGCCCATATTTCTGAGGAGGTGGGCGGTGCCCTTATGAAGCGGTTGCCCTGGTCTCCAGGCACCACCCCTGTGGTGGGATGTGATGGGTCTCTATAAGTCTCTTGGCCTTGTTTCCATTGCCTTCTCTCTGTAGCAAGAAGTTGCAGGTGGAGCCAATCTGAGTGGACAATGCTACTACCAGGGCCTACAGGATTTGTCGGGGAGCATCTGGAGGGGGAAATAGGTTCAGGTATCTATGGCTTTTTTCTTTTTGATGGGTTTAGCTGCAATGAGTATAAGACCACTTAGACTGGAAAGTTTTTCCTGACCTTTGGTGATCTGCCGAGTGAGGATTTTACTGCTGGCAGGCCAGGGGAGGACCAGTGGGCAGGTTCCTGAATCTGGAATCCTCTGTCTGATGATGATGGGTTTGGAGTGCTGCCACCTGTTGCACTGTTTCTCTGCCCCGACCCTGGGCTCATCCTCATGTGTGCTGGCCTAGCCTCCATTGCTGTCTCTGCCTTTTCAGTGTGCCCTGTGGGAGCCCCTCCCACCTTCACCCTTCACTGGTAGTGTGTCAGCTGAGGCCCTGCAAGTGCCTGATTGGGTCTGCAACTCTAATCTTTATCCTTCCCCATCCTGTCTCCCCTGTTCACCTGATACGCTCACCATGGTCAGATGTCTCAATGCATGGATCTTTCAGGTGTGTTTATGTGTTGAGCAGAGAAACGGTCATTTGTTGATTATAGCTGTCCATTCTGTTGTAACATCATAGGACTCTATGAATTGTAATTCACTAGGAGTTTACCCCTGTAAATCCTTTCTCAATGAGGTATTATATGCTTTCGTGTACATATTTTATTTATTTTCTTTTTTTTACATGTTTTTATTGATTTCGGAGAGGAAAGGGAAGGGAGAGAGAGAGATAGAAACATCAATAATAAGAGAAAAACATTTATCAGCTGCCTCCTGCACGCCCCCTACTGGAGAGCAAGCCCGAAACCCAGACATATGCCCTGAATCTAATTGTGACCTCCTAATTCATGGGTTTATGCTCAACCACTGAGCCGCACCAGCGAGGCTGTCTACATATTTAAAACTTTTTATTCCATTTTTAGTACTTAACAATTTGCGATTCCTTTTTAAAGTAGCATTTAATTGTTTGCAGTTAAAAATACATAAACTTGTGCAGCCTGAAGATAATTCTTATGTAAAATGTGCTGTGGAAGAGGGAAGGGCCTTTTAAAAACTACTAAATGAGAACAAAGAGGAAGCAAATTGCAAATAGACTGTTTACCAATCAGGTGGAATAAAATTACTGCCTTAAAGTAGGACACAACACTTGCTACAGTGACACGTGATATAGCCAGACCATGGAAGGAGCCCGTGAAGTGGCCTCTTGTCTCCAGGCCTGTGAGCTTCGGCCCTGATGGGACCGGGGCTTCAGAGTCACGGCCACCAAGGGTTCCTGCCCTTGGTTTTCCTTCACTGCTGTGTGTTGTACATAAAGGCTGTGACCGTTCCTGTGTGACAATCCCAGATAATGGTTCCAAATATAAATTAATGTCTTAAATTAAGCTTTTTAGAAGGAATGTATGTGATGTGATGTTCTTTGTCTCGTAGCATGTTTTCATTTTAATCTGTACATGGCTTGTGTTTTGGTAACTGGCTTTATTGTAGTTCAAGCTTTTAAAACAAAGGGTGTATTTCACATAATTTAATCAACACTTGTTTACTCTCATCCTTTTGTATTTCTCCCACTTTTAGCACAGACTGGCCACTCAGCTCTCCCAGTCCAATGGATGCACCATCAGTTAAAATACGCAGAATGGATCCTTTCTCTACAAAGGAACATATTGAAATCATAGCTCCTTCGCCACAAAGAAGCAGGTCTTTTTCAGTAGGGATTTCCTGTGGTCAGACAAGTTCATCTGAGAGCAACTTCTCTCCACTGGAATTTTCAGGACTAGGCCTTGGAGACACCAGTGCGTCAGTGGGTGCAGTGCACAACCTCCAGGACAGCTGCCTCACAGACTGTGATGTGGAAGATGGCACAATGGAAGGCAGTGAAGAGGGGCACTCCTTTGAACTTTGTCCCTCTGAAGCTTCTCCTTATGTGAAGTCCAGGGAGAGAACCTCCTCTTCCATAGTATTTGAAGATTCAGGCTGTGATAATGCATCCAGTAAAGAAGAGCCCAAAGCTAACCAACTGCACATTGGCAACCATTATGCTAATAAACTAACTGCTGCCCAGCATTCCAGTAGCAAATCTTCGGAACCTAGTTTGTCTATTTCTCTTTCAAGACCAACCACTTTAAGTCTAGATCTCACTAAAAACACTGCAGAAAAGCTGCAGCCCAGTTCCCCAAAGGTATATCTTTACATTCAGATGCAGCTGTGCAGAAAAGAGAACCTAAAGGACTGGATGAACAGCCGGTGCAGCATGGAGGAAAGAGGGTGGGACACGTGCCTGCACATCTTCCTGCAGATCGCAGAGGCGGTGGAGTTCCTGCACAGTAAGGGGCTCATGCACAGGGACCTCAAGGTTGGTACTATGGAACCTCACCCACGGGTTTCAAGCTGACGTTTTATGCAGTACTTGCAGTATTTGTCACTTTTTAATGGAAGTACCCTAAGAGTGGAGGAGAGTGAAGGCATTGGGAGCAGAGATCTGGAAATGTAAAAATAAGAAATCCCATGATTTAAAAAACTCAGGCAGGCCTGTGGTTGAGCATCGACCTATGAACCAGGAGGTCGTGGTTCGATTCCTGGTCAGGGCACATACCCAGGTTGTAAGCTTGATCTCTTATCTCTCTCTCCTTCTCCCTTCCTCTTTGAAATCAATAAAATTATATTTAAAAAATAAAAAAGATCTCAGGCAAATCATGAATTCTTTATAATATGTTTATGTTTGTTTTACAGTAAAAAGCATTCCCAATCTTCTGATGAAAAAATATCTTATGTAAAATTCAATACCATTTTCTATGGCTTTGAGTAACCCTGGCACAGATTACCGTAGGGTCCTGAAGTAGCACACTGAAAGGGAGTAGCACACTGAAAGTGGAAGGAGAGCCAGAGGTCCCTTCATTAGCCAGCTCTGAATTAGGGCCAGTTGCCATTCTTTTTGCCCCTGTTCCTGAACTGTTCAGGTGTTGGGGAAGGAGGTGAGAAGCTGGATGATAAAAGGTGGCGAATGGTTAGCCACATGATGTTTGCAGCTCTAACACCTTTGATTCTGTTTCAGTAATGAATATTGTAGCCATGCAGTATGCTGCATTACCAAAGATTCCTACTAGAACATGCAGTGTGTCTTCAGTGTATGCTTCTGAAATACCTCTATGGAACTTTTAGTAACTAATTTCTGCCATATCCCATATGCTCATAGTGATCATCATAGTAAACATAGATGTGTAGTGAATACATAAATATTTTTCTCATGGAAATTGCTTAAATTCTTGAGATTTGGACTCATTTTAGGTGTTTTCAGTTTTGTTTTATGTAACCACAAACTTGTTTCAGGCACCAAAGTAGCTATTTGGATGAGTAATTTTCTTTTTAAAGTCAGCAGTGGGTTTTTAAATCTTTGAATATATTTTTAAGAGTTTGGAATAATAGGAACTCAAATTAGAAATAATTCCTATTTTCTAAAGTAATTGTTGTTGAATTATACTTAATCAGCACACTCTGGATGTGGCCAGAACTAATTGCCAGGAATCATTCTGCATGAGTGAGAAGTTCAGAGATGGTTGGTTTTGGTCGGAGGGGAGAAGACAACTTCCATGAGGTTAGATGCCCCTAACTTGAGTGAGTTTTGGCTATTGGAATATGGGTACAGTTTTATCATTTGGTAGGAACTGGTTATCTAATGTGCACATTCTTCTTGTACTGAACACTTACTGTACAACCAAAATGTTACGTTGAAAGCCATGTAATTGTGTTCTTACTAATTTTGAATATTCTGCTGATATTACAGTGTTTATGAGGTACTAGAGGCCCAGTGCACGAAATCTGTGCACTTGGTCATGCGGAGCCCTCAGCTCAGCCTGTGCCCTCTTGCAGTCTGGGAGCCCTCAAGGGATCTCCGACTGATGGCTTAGACCCGCTCGTGGGCCCAAGCTGGCAGTCGGACATCCTTAGTGCTGCGGAGGCGAGAGAGGCTCCCACCACCGTCACTGTGCTTGCCAGCCATGAACCCGGTTTCTGGCTGAGCAGTGCTCCCCTTGTGGGAGTGCACTGACCACCAGCGGGCAGCTCCTGTGTTGAGCGTCTGTCCCCTGGTGGTCAGTGCGTGTCATAGTGAGCAGTTGTTCTGCCTTTCGGTCGATTTTCATATTAGCCTTTTAATTTATAGGATTGGTGAATATTTGTTTAATGCTACAATGTTGTCTAAAGGTTTTTCTTGTATTTCTTTGTGCACTAAAAAAATTTCAGGAAAATTAATTTTCTCTAGTTTTTCTAGATATCAAAAAAGTATTCTTTTGGAAAGGTGAATTTCTCTTAAAGATTTCTAGTGAACCAGAAAGAAATTCTCCCAATAATTTTATTCTTAGTCAAAAAGCTCTGTGTCCTGTCCATTCTGACCTAAGTCTTTGAGCTCACTGTGAAACCTCTTAAGCCCTCTCCCCTTTTTATATTTTGGTCACATTTTTGTCATCAGCGCTCGCTGCCCCCTGATTCTTCCAACTGACTTCTAATCTTCCCTTTACTCAAGTTGCACTGGGTTTTTCTCAGTTGCTTAAATACACAGTGTTCTCACAGAACCTGGTGTTTCTCCTTCATAATCCTCATCACAGTTGTATTATTTATCCCCTGGTTTCCAAAGGGGCAGAAGCCATGTCTTTTTCACCTATTAAATCCTTAACACAATGCCTGATGAATTCTATATGCTCATATAACTTTTTTTTTATTATTCTCTTGTTTGCAATAAAAAGCACTTATAACAATTTAATCAGAAATGAAATGTATTGGCTCATGTAACTGAACTGTCCAAGATTCAAGTAAAGTTTCAGTGATGTGGCCAGAATAAGGTCTCCCCTCTCCTTGCCCTGTTTCTTGTTTCCACTTTCAGGCAGGCTTTCCCTTCACACTCTCAGGACAGCTGCCACTATTAGCGGACTGCACATTTTAAATCTTTTTTTTTTTTTTTTTTTTTTTTTTTAAATATATTTTATTGATTTTTTACAGAGAGGAAGGGAGAGAGATAGAGAGTTAGAAACATCGATGAGAGAGAAACATCGATCAGCTGCCTCCTGCACATCTCCCACTGGGGATGTGCCCGCAACCAAGGTACATGCCCTTGACCGGAATTGAACCTGGGACCTTTCAGTCCGCAGGCCAACGCTCTATCCACTGAGCCAAACCGGTTTCGGCAACATTTTAAATCTTTTGGAGTGATGAGATAGGGCGTGGGAAGAAAGTATCCCTCTTCCCTACCATTGACCAGAAGTCCTGAGTTTCCTCCTAACTGAAAAGCCAAGGACATATACCCATTCCTAAACCAGTATCCCGGTCAGGGGGTAGGATTATGCTGATGGTTTATGCATCCTCAGGATGTGCAGTCATGGGTTGCTGCACAGTTGGGAAGGGTTCCTGAAGTCCAGTCAGGATGCTTCTGGTGAAGTGCAGGGGGATAGATGCTGGAGAGCCTAAAAATTAAAAAAAAGGAAGTCTATTACGGTGTTCAGTAATAACACCAGATGATGGGAGGACAGGAGCAGTAAAATTTAAGGCAGCTCTCTCACAAGGTCATTTGTGGGCGAGCAGGAGGTTATTACCATAGATTTTGGTTATGTGCAATAACATCATTGCTTCAAAGTCACAACTGTCTAATAGCATTTTAGAGTTTGGGAATAAAGTATTACTTGTCTGGCAGGATTTGAAGCCTGAGGAAATACAATTTCCTGAGCTAAGTGGCTATCTTTCCCTCATTTTAAGGCTCTAAATGGTGATCCTGTTAGCAGGGGTGAGAGTAGGCTCTGAAGGAAGATGATAGAGTTCATGTAGCGGACTTGAGTTTAAGGACCATGAGAAACTTGGTTAGCTCTCTCTCTTCAACAGTTGCATGTGAGAGTTTATAACTCAGACCAGCAGCCTTGGAATACATGAGAGCATGTGGATATTAGAAGAGGCAGCATTGGTTGCAATTAAGAGCTCTTATTCTCTGTGATAGCCTGCTTTTTCCCTCTTGGACATAAGCCCAAAATCAGTCTGTTTTATTCATTTATCAAACAGTAGTGATTAGCTACCATAAGGCACATGCTATACTAAATGCTGGACCTGTGGTATTGAAGCAGACATCCTCTTCTCATGGAACCAGACTGCCTGAGTTTGAATCCCTGCTCCACCACTTACTACCTGGATAACATTAGGCAGTTTACCTAACTTCTCTGGGCCTCAGTTTGCATGTCTGTAAAATGAAAGACTAATAGAACTAATAGGGCTGTGAGTATTGCATGAGTTAATAGTAGTAACCAGCTTAGACTGGCTCCTGACATATTTTAAGTGCTATATATGCATTTGATAGTATTGTTACTATTATTGTAGTCATCACTTCAGTTATAAATGTAGAGAAGCTTGCCTGGGGGAGAATATATAGAATAATAAGACTGAGCATTAAATACCTTGGGCCCTAGGTAATGTGAGTCTCTAAGTGTCTAAGTAGATGGTGTTTGCTCATTCATGCGCTAAATGGCTAAATGTAAATGCTGATCCCTATGCTAGCTTTTCTTTTTTTTTTTTCAATTAAATATTTATTGTTCAGATTATTACATTAGTTACTCTTTTTTCCCACCATAACTCCCCTCCATCCAGTTCCCACCCCACCCTCCGCCCTCACTCCCCACCCACTGTCCTCATCCATAGGTGCACCATTATTGTCCAGTCTCTTCCCTCACCCCCACACCCCTTCCCCCCCTCCCCCAAGAATAGTCAGTCCATTCCCTTGCTATGTCCCTGATTCTATTACAATCACCTGTTCATACTGTTCATCAGAGTATTTATTCACTTGATTTTTAGATTCACTTGTTGATAGATGCGTATTTGTTCATAATTTGTATCTTTACCTTTTTCTTCTTCCTCTTCTTAAAGAATACCTTTCAGCATTTCATATAATACTGGTTTGGTGGTGATGAACTCCTTTAGCTTTTTCTTATCTGTGAAGCTCTTTATTTGGCCTTCACTTCTGAATGATAGCTTTGCTGGATAAAGTAGTCTTGGTTGTAGGTTCTTGGTATTCATCACTTTGAATATTTCTTGCCACTCCCTTCTGGCCTGCAAAGTTTCTGTTGAGATATCAGCTGACAGTCGTATGGGTACTCCCTTGTAGGTAACTGAGTTTCTTTCTCTTGCTGCTTTTAGGATTCTCTCTTTGTCTTTTGCTCTTGGCATTTTAATTATGATGTGTCTTGGTGTGGTCCTCTTTGGGTTCCTTTTGTTTGGGGTTCTCTGTGCTTCCTGGACTTGTAAGTCTGTTTCTTTCACCAGGTAGGGGAAGTTTTCTGTCATTATTTCTTCAAATAGGTTTTCAATATCTTGCTCTCTCTCTTCTTCTGGCACCCCTATAATTCAGATGTTGGTATGTTTGAAGCTGTCCCAGAGGCTCTTTACACTATCTTCGTATTTTTGGATTCTTTTTTCATTTTGCTTTTCTGGTTGGGTGTTTTTTGCTTCTTCATATTTCAAATCTTTGACTTGATTCTTGCGACCCTCTGGTCTGCTGTTGGGAGTCTGTATAATATTCTTTATTTCAGTCAGTGTATGCTTAATTTCTAGTTGGTTCTTTATCACAACATCGAGGGTTTCACCAGTCTTCTTGAGGATCTCACTACATTTATCGGCAGTCTCACCAGTCTTCTTGAAGATCTCACTACATTTATCGGCGGTCTCACCAGTTTTTTTGAGGGCCTTGTTAAATTTATCAGCGGCTTCTAGACAGTTCTTTAAAGACCTTAAAAGTGTGGTTTTGAACTCTATATCCAACAATTTGCTTTCCTCCAATTCTGTCGTTTGTGTCCTGTTTCTTTGTCTCGGCATTTTATGCTTCGCTGTGTCAATAGAGTGCCTTTCTGTGCTGTGTCCCAATTACCTGAGGTAGACACTCTTGGTGCACCCCCTTGTGGGCTTTGTGCACAGTCTTGTTGTAATTAAGCCTTGATTGTTGTAGTTATCACTGTGAGGAATTGACCTCCAGGCCAATTGGCTGTGAGAATCAGCTGTGTCTGCAGTGGGAGAACTTCTGTGCTGGAGACACCCCTCTGGGGCTAGACTTGCTTCGATGAGGTTTTGGTGCTCACTGAGTCTGTCCCCTGAGTGTGTCTATTATGGTTCCACGGAGCTGCAAACTGGATGGTCCCACTCTGACCTGTGGGCTTCCTGGCTCCTGGATTTCTAGGGAGGTGCTAATCTAGCCTTTGCCTGAGGCTATCCAGCAAAAGTCTCCCTGCAGGGCTTGGGCGGGGCGGGTCCCACAGGATCAACAGGGCGGGGTTAGCAATTATGGCTGCTCTCTGTCTTGCCCTCAGAAGCTCTGCTTCTCAGTGTCCCAGTAATCCCTGCAAGCCCCACGGAGAGAAAGCTGCCCTAGGGTTCTGAGTAATGCCAGACAGTCCCGCTTCTCCTGTTTGAGTCTGGGTCCCTAGAGACTCGCCCGGAACTGGAGCTCAGAGCCTGAGACTCCCACCCGATTGAAAACGACAACCACGCCCTCAGCCGCCAGCCCGCTCCGCATGCACTCCGCACCTTAGTATTTTACTTCAGCACTGCGCCTCCTTGAGTCTCAGTATGCTTTTCTTTTCCCTCCTAGTTGTAGAACTTCCACTCAGCCAACCTTCCTTTGGTTCTGGATGATGTCCGTTCCATCTTTTAGTTGTATTTTTGAAGTGGTTGTTCGAGGCAGCAAACTCCGGTGTTTACCTATGCCGCCATCTTGGTTTCCTATCTAATTCCCTATGCTAGCTTTTCTTTACTCACAGCACTTGTCCAGCATGGAAGGATCAGTGGTATTTTCATATCAACTCATTTTAAAGGGAAACATACCTGAGAATATCTAGTTTCTTGTATTTATTTTCTGTTGTCATTTTAATTCCCTTCACTTTCCTTTTCTGTATATATCCATTGTGCTTTTGTCTGTTTTATTTTTTTCCAGCCTTCCAACATATTCTTTACAATGGACGATGTGGTCAAGGTTGGAGACTTTGGATTAGTGACAGCAATGGACCAGGACGAGGACGAGCCGATGGTTCTGACCCCAATGCCAGCATATGCCCGGCACACGGGACAAGTGGGGACCAAACTGTATATGAGCCCAGAACAGGTGAGTGTTTTTGTTTTTCTTCTTAATTAAAAACAGATTTTTAGTTAGTATGACAGCAAGCTAGATATCTCCATCTATGTTCTACTTAAAATACCCAATAAAATGAAATCTGAAAAGTATGAAAACTGGTAGTAGAGTTCCACATGCAGTACAGCTAGGGGACAGTTTCTACAACTTGCATTGGGGATGGATTAAAAACAAACACAATGCGTAAAACATGCTCAACCTTTAAACCATAACCTAACAGCAACCAGAAATTTATAGAGACTTTGAACCCCTCCCATACTTAACTCCAGTTCACCTTATGTAAATGGTGTAGGAACTGTTTTCAAATGAATTAGAGCCAGAGGTACTGTACTGAGCTGTCCTCTATAGTAATTCACAGGCAACTGCCAGAATGTACTGTGGCAGGAGATAAAGGCTGGAATATCTTGTCTGTGGATGCTGAGTCTCCCACAGAACAGGACAGGACAGAGCCTGGAAGAGTGGTGGGAGCAGACTGTCCTGAGGGGCTTCAGAATAGCATGCCCAGTCACCACCAAGATAATGATATTCACAAGCTTATTTATGCTTAAATCAGCCATTCTCAAATTTTGTGGTCTCAGTGTTGTGGGTGGGAAACAGGGATTTCGAGAAAAGCATTTTAAGGACCCATGCAGGGGAGATTGTGGTGTGGCAGGATGGTTTTTTATTCTGATGCAAAATCAAAAGAGTTCCCCTCCTGGCTTCCCCATGTCCCACCTGCCTCCATCCTGCCATGGTAAAAGTCCCACTGTCACGGCCAGCCTGACAGGTTGAGCCGGGCTGAGGCAGGGAGGTGGGAATTGAGAAAAGAAAGAAAGACAGGAAAGCGGCATCAGGAGGACAACAGCTCTCGAGTAACTGAAGCAAGTTTATTAGCCACACAATCCTATTTATACACAACACACTGAATAGGAGGTCTGTCAAGAGGAATGTATTCTTTGTTCTTCTTAATCACTAAGGGAGAGACACAGCAGAAGGACAAGTTCTCAGTACAGCATATCTCAGTAAATAGTTGCAGACTTCTTGGTAAGCCATGAAAGGCTGTTCTCATTCTACAAAGGTTGCTCTTATTCTACTGATAATCGCCATCCAAACAAGTCTGGGAAAACTGTGTGGGTAAGGGTCCCAGCCTTGCTAGCCCCTTCAGGTGCAAGGACCTTGCCAGCTTACATCTGGCCCCCAACATCCCACCATGTCTTCAGCAGGGCCAACACAAAAGCCAGTGCCCAGAGTTTCTGCTTCATAGTCCTTTGGAGCCCAAGCAATCTGCAACAGGCCTCAGGTGGCCACTAGAAATGCATAGTTGCGTGCTCTCTGACGGGAGAGATGCAAACAAATGGGGTGAATGTGGGTCACAGAGAGAGAGAGAGCGAGTGAGAGCGAGAACAGGATGGTGCGCTTTGTTCTCTTGGGATTTTAACCAGGAACTTTTTCAACTTTCTAAGATTTCCAGGCTTCTGATGGGTCCAATGATCCCTTTCCCAGGTTACATTGACAGGCATCTAGGAACAAGCATCTCCCCCTGCACCTTTTTGACTTCATTGCATATGTGCTTATCTCCCTCTGTTCCCCCTCCATATACAATCCAGTACCGGAGGAGAGAAGGGAGGGATGTTAATCTCCTTGTAAGGACAATGCTACAATTCCTTGGGGTGTGAAGCTGTAGCTTCCTATTGAAGCAAACAGGCTCATGCTTCCCAGTTGACCATGCTTACCAATGTCTGACTTCGCTTGCTCTCTTCCTATTAATAACTAGCTAATGATGGTAGCATCAGTACCTGTTTATACATGTAAATATGATCGAAAACCCAAGAGTTTTTCTTAATGGGATTTTATTTATCAGTATTTGCCATATTAGAGATTAAAACTGAAAAATGTATAAAATTTATTAATTTAATAATATTAAACCTATCTTATCCCAAAAATATTTTTATGATATTTCCCAAAACAAAAAAGCATTGTTGAGAAGAGTGGCATTTGTTTACATTTTAACAGATCTCTTTAATATCTGACTTAAAAGAGCTAGATTCTCCTATCTGACTTGCATTCAATTTGTTGCAATATGTTATTTTGTGTGAAGTGAAGGAAGAAAATCTGACCTCATACAGATATGTAGTTGGAAAGGGAGGGATGTTTTAATAGCATTTTCAGGGAATTGTGGTTATTCCTATTAGATAGTACATCAGAATTCAATAAGTGATAGTTTCTTAAAAGTCATTTGCCCTATGGAATCTAAAACTATATTATTGAACTTTTTTACTCGGTCAATTTAATATCCTTCATTCATTTTGCACTTTTTAAAAAATCCTCAACTGAGGATTTAGAGAGATAGGAAGTGAAAGGGGGAGAGAGAGAGAGAGAGAAGCATTGATGTGAGAGAGAAACATTGATCAGTTTCCTCCCACACATGCCCTGACTGAGGATCAAACTCACAACTGAGGTATGTGCCCTGACTGGGAATTGAACCCATGAACCTTCGGTGCACGGGATGGTGCTCCAACCAACTGAGACACACTAGTCAGGGCTCATTTTGCCCTTTGAATGGATCTTTTACCCATGCAGGGAAGCTAGATGAAAAATATACTAGGCTTTATTTATAGTTGGTATCTGAACATCCTAATATATAAAGAGCCAGGGTCCGTCACTACCGAACAGATGACCAAACAGGAGGCTGCCTGGGGCGACTAGGCCTGTGGGGGTGGGGTTGGGGGGGGGGGCAGTGAGGGATGACCAAATGACTGGGCCCTGGGATCTCTGGGCCCCGGCCAGGGTGCGGTGGAATACTGGGTCTGCTGCGATTGAACGCGGTAGGAGGTGGGAGGAGGGAGGTGGGCGTCAGTCTGGGTCCCACACGCCAGGAAACTTTCTCAGACTTTCTTGGTGCTGGGACTGGATGCATCCGAGCTCACAGCAGGCTCCGCGGAGGTTCCTGGTGGCTGAGGGTGGAGAACTGGAGTGCGGGTATGTGGGTGTGTGCATGAGCGTGGACCCGAGCGACAGACACACACTCACACGCCTGCACCCACACAGGGCCCTCGTCCCGTCCGTGCCACCCACGCCTCCCTGGACTTTACCCTCCAGCCTGGATCTTTCTGGTCCCGTGCCCAGTGGCCTGTCCCTGCCTAACGTTTCTCAGTAACACAGAGTGCGGGATTCGGGAGTTAGAACTGGGAGCACAACGTGGTCTCCCCACCATCCACTGTCCCCGCCCTCCCAGGGAAGGGGACAGGGAAGGGCACCGGGGGCTCTTACCACTCAGGGCTGGCGGAAACGCAGCCAGAGGGAACATGGCCGAGCTGCCCCGCCCGCCCGAGGGCTGGCCCCGCCCCATGTGCCCTGCCCCAGCTCTGGAGCACAGGGGCGTCCGGGCGCGCCCCTTCCCCGGCTGGGAGGGTCCCCGCTAAGCTTCCACCTCCTTGGGAAACTTTGCTTTTCCAGCTCTGTCCCTGCGGGAGAGTTGTAGGGACGCTGGATCCCTTTCCTTCCTTCGGAAGTGCTCTGAAAAGCACGCTGACAGCTATGCCGGGAAGGGGTCGCTCAAGTTCAGCAAGAGTTTGCGATTTGCCTAAGGCGCGTTGAACAGTTTTCTCTTACCCCATTTGTGGGAGTGTAATCTGATTTAAAACCAATGGACTAAACAAACAGGAGCACTTTCTAGAAAGTCAATTTGGAAATGTGGATCAAAGTTCAAGTGAATTAGCTTTGGGCCAGGAGTTCCATGTCTGAATGTGTCCTAAGTAAACAGTCAAATAAGCAGTTAGGTTTCCTGTAGTTGTTGATGCCAGGGGAAACCGGAAACAACCTGCCCCACCATATAGGATTAGTGAAATAAACCATAGTAATGTCAATTAGTCAGGGATAACACTGTAGCCATTAAAAATTATGTCTGTACATCCAATTCGTTGACATGAAAAGAAGGCCATAGCTAAATATTAAGTGGAGGGCAAGGGGAGAATGCATGTATATTTATATGTATGTATATTTTATATGTCAGGGAAATAATAGTTTTAAAAACAGTGATTCTTCCTGAGCTCTGCAATTGTGAGTGTTAGCCAATTGTGTTTCAGGTGTGACAGGTGTCCTTTGGTGTCTCATACTCACAGACATCCTTGCCTGTGGGACAGCCTGAACCTTTGCTGCACCTGCCTCTCTCTGCTGTGGCAACGGCCCAATCAGACATTCCCTTTTATAGGGCTGGTTTCCTTTTCTCCTTTGCCCAAACCACACCTTTCCAACAAAAGAATATTAACCAAGCAATCCTAACAAGTTTTGTTGCCGACTGCAACTTATGCCCTTTTACGCAAATGTTGCTTTCAAGCCTACCAGGTTGTATTTCAAAACTTTTATTTTTCTGCAACTTGACCATTTTTTATTCGCTTAAAATATTCTGGAGTATTTTAAATACATATTGAAAAGTAGAGAATAATATAACAAATACTTATCTATACTAATATGCTAATTAGCCCAGACATCTTCCGGACATCCTTCAGGAAAAAGCCATGGTGGCGGGGGCCAAGGCAGAGGCGGTTAGGGGCGAGCAGACTGGCAGGGGAGAGTAGTTAGGAGCGACCAGGTTGGCAGGGGAGGGCAGTTAGGAGCGACCAGGCCAGCTGGGGAGGGCAGTGAGGGGCGACCAGGTCTGCAGGGAGGGAAGTTAGGGGCGACCAGGCTGACAGGGGAGGACAGTTAGGGGTGACCAGGCAGGCAGATAGGTGAGCGGTTAGGAGCCAGCTGTCACGGATTACAAGAGGGATGTCCGACTGCCAGTCCGACTGCCAGTTTAGGCCTGATCGCAGCAGTTGGACATCCCTTGAGGGGTCCCAGAATGGAGAGGGTACAGGCTGGGTTGAGGGACCGCCCACCCCGTGCATGGATTTCGTGCACCGGGCCACTAGTTTATTAATAAATGAATTAAAATAAGATATACTTCTTTTATTGGGGTACCCTCTTCCCCACTGGGTGCTGAGGGTGGGGTT